CCCCCGAGCCCCGGGGCGGCCGCGGGGCAGCGGGAGCCCAGTCCGGCGCCGTCCCCGCCTCACGGGGATGGCACAGGCGGCGGCACCGCGGGACGGAGCGGCTCCGCTTGACCGGCCCCGGGTAGCGCCAGCGTCGCCTGGCCTAAACCTCGGCCCCCGGCATGCCAGATTGCCACTGATCAACACATTTAATTCCCGCTCCAGAGGCACCTGTGTGTCCAGAGATGCCGAATGGGCCTGTGGTGCTGGGAGGCTTTTCCCAAGGGCGAAACGTTTGCTCCGAGCACAGCCCTCGCAGGGGACAGCCCGCAGGGACAGGCCTCTCCGCTGCACCCAGAGATGCTGCTTCCTCCCTAGTTTGGAATTTTTTTTTGGAAGTTTCCTAGCAGTTGCCCCCCACCTGCAGCCACCTCCAGGCCCTCCTGCCAGCTCCGCAGGACCCACAAGGCCATCAGCACCCACCCGACCACCGGAGAGGTCGGCTTGCCCGAGAGAGCCGAGCGGGAGCCAAATCCGGGCTAAAATTCCCGCTGCGACACCCTGGAGTGGCTGGGCCACGGGTGACCACGGAGCTGAGGTGTCTCCCATGAATACGAACCCCTGGCGTGGAGGCAGCCCTGTCCCTGCTGGTGGCCTCCCCGAGGACATGTAGGAGAGGGCCACGGAGACGCTGCGTCCCCCCATCCTGCTGCCCCCACGGCCCCCATCCGCCTCCCTTGCTGTCCCCGCAGGGCACAGGGGACATTCCCAGGACAGCAAGGACTGGCCGCAGCGGCTCTGCAGAGCGGGGAAGGCTCCATGGAGCCGGCAGGAGGGAAAAGGCCTCAGAAGAGCGAGAAGATGAAGGAAGAGCAGAGGAGCAGAGGGGGAGGCCGAACGGAGCAGCAGCAGCGCGAGCGGCAGCAAGATAAACACCCAGAGGCAGATTGATGGGGCACTAAAGAGCTTCCTATAAAGCAGTTAATGCTCTAATAAAGAAAAAGAAAAGGAAAAAACCATTCGCGCTGCCAAGCTACAAACCAGCCCTTCTCTCTCCAGGGCCAGACGCAACCTCCAGAACGAGCAGGTCCAGGAGCTCCTGGAGGCAGAAATGCAGGAGCGCGAGGCCGAGGGATGCGGCACGGACACAGGAGCGGAGCTGGGGACACCCCCAGGGCCACCAGCCCCGCTGGCCTCGGCATCGCAGCAGGGAGGGAGCTCCCCGCACCCGGGGCTGCGGGAAGAGCCTGGACACAGCCCGGCAGCCGGAGCGATGCCCTGGTCCAGAAAATGATGCAAACTGGTCTCAAAGCAACGAGGTCAATCAGCACTGGCTCATTCTTACGGCTCTTGCTCAGCCCCAGCAAGAGCCACAAACACCCTTTTCCTTTTCACTGGACTCCAGGAGTCGGGAATTACGCACAAAGCACAAAGCTGGGCCACGGACGCCACAACAACCAATGGGTCAGCGCCAGATTCCCTTCCATGGGAATAACTGCTCCGAGGGCAGCGCTTTAAAAACTAGGGGGAAAAGGACATTTCCCGTGTGTCCGAGCCTGGCAGGCCGGGACAGGAACCCGGCAGCCCCGGCCGGCA